CAGGCTGGGCTCATCTTTCCTGCTTATACTGTATAGAGCTTCCTTTGTTCACACTTGTTTGCATCTTCTCTCCCTCATTAGACTGTAAGCTTCTTGAGGGCAGGGGCTGACTTTTGCCTCTTTTTGTAACCTCAGGGTTCACTTGGCACAGTGCCTAGCATGTAGTAGGTGCTTAATAATTGTTGATTGATCGATATATAGTTTGCGGTTGTTCAGTTGTTTCAGTCACGTCCAACTCTTTGTGACCTCATTTTGTGGTTGTCTTGGCAGAGATACTGGAGTGGTTCTCCATTTCCTTCTCCAGCTTATTTTACAGATGAGGAAACTGAGGCAAAGAGGGTGAAATGACTTGCCCAGGGTCACACAGCTAGTAAGTGTCTGAGGCTAGATCTCAACTCAGGAAGATGGGTCTTTCTGACTTCAGGCCTGGTGCTCTGTCCACTTCTCTACCTAGCTGCCCTCAAGGATGGAAAGAAGGTGCATTTTCTCAACTCTTCTCCAGGGTGCCAAACGTGAGAACCCAGGTCTTCCGATTAAAAATCTCTTAAAATAGCACTATGCTAACAAGATCTCCCAATTTTATTGCTCTCCAAGGTTTAAAATGTGCTTTCCTGACAGCACTAACTGGAAAGAGACAGCAGGAGAAAAAGAAAAAAACAACAACTGAAGAAGAGACAGATTCAGAGAGGAAAGAGACTCTCTGAGCATTACAGAGTTAATAAGTGTCCAAGTTATGACTCTGTCTCCATTCCTTCAGCCTACAAACACAGCTATTTTTTCCCCTTCTATACTATACTTAGACTTTTCACCAAACCAATCTTCATAAGCCACACAGGGCAGAGACTATTTCTAAGAATTCCATCTCGTTGGGCAAATTTAATAGAGCCGAGTTGAGGATAGTGTTGGAAGGTGGGAGAGGGTGAGATATCTACTGCATGACCATTGCTGGGTAGGACTGTGGTAGACTGGATACAGAAGTCATAATATCACAACTTGGGAACTGGAAGGGACTTCAGAAGCCATCTGTCCAGTCTCCTTATTTTGTAGGTGAGGGAAACTGAAGCCCAAGGAGATGAAGTGACTTGTCTAATGTCACATGGGTAGTAAGTGTCAGGGCCAGGATTTGAACTCAGTTTCTCTGACAAGATCTATTGATCTTTCCACTGAACCATAATAGAGGATGGTCCTTGGGGTTGAAGTGGAAATTGAGGTTGGCCACAGGGGAACGGAACTGGGGGCAGGCTAGGGTTGAGTTTACTCCGGGGGTGAGGGGGAGAGAAGGTAGTGGCTAGTACAGTCAGAGGTGAGATGTTTTCCCTGCTGATTGTTTTTAAGATAAGAAAACTGAGCACCATATTGGTAAAGAAACACCTGGGTTCAAATCCTCCCTCAGCCATTAACTAGCATTGTGACCTTGAGAAAATAATTTAGTGATTTTCTTTGTGCTTTACTTTCTTCCTTTGTAAAATGAACCTGACTCTATCAGGTTCTACAGACTATATGGACTATAGGCTCTATGGAATACCTAGTATACTGTCCTTAACGCCATGCTAGTAGGTTTGAGAGGTAAGGGGAGGGAAAGAGTCAATGATAACCCTAAAGCTTCAAACAAGAGACATGCTTTTACACCTTGGGTCTTGATCTTCTCCTTTTAACACTTTACTTGACATTGGCTAAGTCTTCCAGGGTTCAATATGGTAGGCTGGACTTGGTTGCCATGACAGGCATAGGCAAGAGAGGGGTTTTAGAAGAATGTTTTCCCAGGGTATGACTCTTCTGAGATATGACTCCTACAGGGAACTTTCATGTCTCCCTATTCTGGTGATTTCCCCATATATATTCTTTATACTACAGATTGGCCATCCACCCCACCCCCACCTCCATTCCATGAATAGCATTTTTCTTTTTTTCCTTTTTTTTTTTGGCTAGGTAATGAGGTTAAGTGACTTGCCCAGGGTCACGCAGCTAGTAAGTGCACCACCTAGCTGCCTCTGAAGGGTATTTTTCAAGGAGATAGGAATGTAGTTATGGTGCTGGCTATGGCTTTTATCAGATTCCTTGGTGGCAGACAGCCAGGATTCTGGACTCCCGACCCACGCTTGCCCAAGAGAAGAAGAAAGGGTTTCAGACATATTAACCTCAGGGAATCCCTGGTCCGAGGAAGGAAACATGGTCCCTGCCTTCAAGGAGACCCATCTGCAGAACACAATCCCTGGCCCTCAGTAAACTCCTAGTCTTTGGAAAGGAACCTAGGTCTTCTAATGGCTAGGCTAGGGTCCACTCCCCTAGGCTGGACTCTGGGATGTTGTTTAAAGGGAAGGAGGGTTTTTGGGCAGGGGGAAGCACTCAGAAGCAAGGGGACGTCATGAAAACACTAGGTAATTTTTTTTTTTGGTGAGGCAATTGAAGTTAAATGACTTGCCCAGAGTCACACAGTTAGTGAGTGTTATATGTCTGCATTTGAACTCAGGTCCTCCTGACTCCAGAACAGATGCTCTATCCACTGCGCCACCTAGCTGCCCCTAACATTAGGTAATTGTATAGGGTATTCACAGAGCCATAACTTGAAATTTTTGCACCCAGGCCAAGCAATATAAAACTCACTTGGGCATGTAACTAGTTGCTTCCTATTTTAACTGAGTATTTTTTGTTAACAAAGTGCTAAGCTTATTTGTTTCTAAGCAGCCGAAGGACTGCAAGTGTTATTATTAGCACCTTCTAAATTTCAGCAACTCAGGAGAAATCCCCTGTTGCCATACCTTGGGTACAATCTTAGGAGGAGGTTAGGAAGAGGAGATTTAGAAAGGAGTGTGTCTGTGTGGGTGTGTGAAAGCAGTTGACAAAGGCCAAACTGTACCAACATCATAGTTTTACTGAGTGCTGTCCAGGCTCCGTAAACCCAACAGGTGTGGAGATAGGTACCAGTAAGGTCAGTGAAAAACTCCCATTTCTATAGCTTTAAGGTTTTCAAAAGGGCAGCTAGGGGGCACAGTGGATAGAGTCATGGCTTGGAGTCAGGAAGACTCATCTTCCCAAGTTCAAATCTGACCTCAGACATTTACCAGCTGTGTGACCCTGGGCAAGTCACTTAACTCTGTTTGCCTCAGTTTCCTCATCTCTAAAATGAGCTGGAAAAGGAAATGGAAAACCACCACAGTATCTTTGCCAAGAAAACCCCAAAATGGGGTCACAAAGAGTTGGACATGATTTATAATGACTGAAACAATGGCAAAGGTTTACAAAGAATTTTTCTCATGATTCTATAAAGTAGATAATACAAGTATTTCTATCTCCATTTTTATAAGATGAGGAAAACAGAATCAGAGAAAGGAAGTGACTTGTTGAAGGGACAGAATAGAGATCCCTAGGTCCTGTGTTCCCTTTACCCTACCACTCTGCTTCACTTAACCATTTCTCCTGTCTCTTTCCTTTTATAGCCACATTCTATACATTAAGAATGATCCCCAGGACTAGGAGGTTCTGCTCTAGCCTTTGCCACTAATTTGCTGTGTGACTTTGGGCAAATCACTTGACCTTTCTGTGAGTCTTAGCCTTCTCATCTGTAAAGCAGGCATACTAAGACTTTGTACTTTCTGCCTCATGGTTATAGTATGAAATCCTAATGAGGTAAATGATTGTACCCTGGTACAGTGGAAAGCGTGAGGGACCCAGAGTCAGAAGGCCTGGGCTATAGTTCCAGATTTCTATTCACTGACGATGTGCACGTCACTTTTCCTCTTAAGCTCTCAGTTTCTCAATCTGTAACTTGAGGGAGTTCAAATAGGTCTCTTCCAACCTTAATATATTATGATAAACTAATGTTCGACTAGGGGAAAAACGCATTCACCTGTTAGACTCTACATCCGTTCCAAGAGACAACTGGAAGAGGGTGAGGCTGGAAAGCAGAGTCATCGAATTAGAGAATGTCGGAGCTGGAAGGACCCTGGGAGATCAATGATTATTGATCATCGATTATCCGATTCCTTCATTTTGCAAAAGAGGTTCGGGGGGAGGGGAGATGGGTAATGTCTACCCCAAAGTTCCAAGCTAGAACACATCCTAGAGTCCCTCGAATCCAGGCCCTCTAACTCTTTCAACCTCGAAGCATGACGCTCTTTTCTGTCCAAGTCAGCGGTCAAGGAGCACAGGGTCACTTCAGACGCTCCTGCTCCCAACAACCCAGCAGCCTCTTCCAGCACCACTCCCTTGGCTCTCCCCGGGGGTCCCCTTCTTACCCCTCCCCTTTTCCCCTGGGCCCGCGTCCTGGGGGAAGGGGGGAGCCCCAGGCTCTTCTTCCTCCGGTTGCCCAGCTGGGCTCTCCCCAGGCAGTGCCCTTGCGTTAGCGACGCCCGTCAGGGGTTCTGATTTCACACCCTCAGCCCCTCCTCTCAGGGCTCTCCCGAGTCCCTTCCCAGTGGTAGGCGGAGTTCTGAAGCCGGCCCCCCCCACCTCCCCGTCCCATCCGACACCACCCTTGGTGCCTCGGGCCCACGAAGGGCGGGGTCTGACTCCCCAGTCACACCCCCCTCAGGGCCACATTCCATCTTTCCCTCCCACCCGCTCAATGAGGAGGGGCTGGCGGGCCAGCTCAGTCTCAGGCTACGCCCTCTCCCAGCTGGTCGGAGTCCTAGGTTGGGGAACAGCCCCTGGGCTTGGCCAAACGGGGACCCCGCCTTTCTGCTTTCCCCAGATCCTCCAATCTTATATTCTTTCTCTTCTCTCCCTTTCTGTCCACTCAATGGCTAGGGGACAGCAGGAGGAGCCTTCTTCTGGAGCAACATCCCCCTCGGGTCTCTTCAATGGGGGTTGGGTGGGGAGGAAGGCGGGGTGGAAAGGAGATGGGGGGGGTCGGGAAAAGCGGGCGGAGCCTTGAGCGCCTGGCCGAGCCTCCTCCCAGCTGGTCTGGAGTCCCCTGGCTGGGCGCAGCCCCTGGGCCGGGCGAGCCGGGGCCCCGCCTCTCCTCCGTCTTCAGCCCCTCCCGGCTGGCTCGCTCCCTAGCTCCCCCGGCGCTCGCGGGCGCTATAAGAAGGCGGCCCCGAGCCGGGCGAGCTCTTACCGAGACCTGCGGGGGGAGCGAGATGGTCAGCCCCCGAGCCGCAGCCGCAAGATGCTGGCTGGACAAGTCCTGGTGGGCTGGCTCTCTTCCTCCTCCTTCGCGCTGATGGTGCTGTTCGGCTCCCTCCGCCCCTCGGCCGCCTACTTCGGGTAGGTGCCGTTCGGGGCTCCGGCCCCTTCTCCAAACCAGCCCCCAGCTCCCCGCCCCCAGCGCGCCTGCCTGCCTGCCTGCGAGCGAGCTAGCAAGGGAGCGACCGCCCGAGGGAGACTCAGGCCGGCCCCAGACCCCTTCTCTCTCTTTCTATCTTCCTCTGTCCTTCACCTTCTCCTCCGCCGGCTCCCACTGCTCCGCTTCGCCGCTGGGACTTGTCATGGGCTTCTTTTTGCGCCCCCTTTCCACCCCCAACCCTCCTTGCCCGCGGTCTCTAGTTCGAGGCACGGAATTGTGCCCGGGCAGGCTGGCTCGCCTGTCTTCTACTCTCGTCCCCGGAGACTACAGGGCTGGTGGTCTTTCCTGCTCCGACTCCTCTCCACGTCCTGGTGAAACAGGGGTGCACCGGCTGTGGACTGGGGTGGGGGGTAGGAGAGCTGAGTGTCCTCTGTCTGGGCGCTGGTCCTGCAACTGCCCTGCAGGCAAATCCGTGTCCGCCCCACTTGCCCTGAGCTCGCTCACTTCCCTGGGCGAGGAGAGAGCGATGGGCTTCCAAGCTGAGGTGGGACAGCCAGTCCAGCCCAGGTGGGACAGCCTCCTTCCTCCCTCCCCCCCAATCCAAACACCCCAAAACGTGGGAAAGACGGGCTGAGATGAACTATGCTAATGCTGAGAACTTGGAAAGTGCGAGGGAAGGAGTGAAATGGGATATACTGTGCAGATCTGGAAACCACAAGTTTTTGTTATTATTTAGTTTACGCTTTCTTTCTGGTGACTTGGAAACTATCGTGTGTGTATCTGTCTGTCTTTCTGTCTTTCATAACTGGATGCAAACTCTCTCTCCCAGGGCTATATTAATAGTTAATCATCGGCAGCAGGTTGTGTTGCCTGGAGCGGTTTGTTTGTTGAGCGCTTTTGTCACAGAGCGTGTTTGTGTGTCCTTGTGTCTGTGTCTCCTACTTGTCAGAGGATGGATTTCTGTGTGTGTATGTGTTTTCTCGAAGACAGTAACGGGCAAATGAGGAGGGGGAAGTTCCCCACTCCCCTTAGCCTTTTGCAAGGCTCTGGGATGCCAGCCTAAGCCTAGCCGCTCTCTCCGTCCCTGGCCTCGCTGGGGTCCTTGGCCCCAGAGCCCCTTGCGACCGAGTCCGACCCGGCCTGTTGGGGCGCAGTGATTCGAGGGTCAGCGGGGTGGGGGGGGGAGATCAGTCCAGCGCGCTACCCATTTCCCCGGAGCTATCTGCTCCCTCGTCGGACCCGAGCTCGCTTGTTCACTCTTTCTCCTTTCTAGTAGGTGTGGTTTTGTTCTGGGTTTGCTATAGACACTCAGCGGAGAAAGCTCGGGGGATGGACGGGAACTCTCTTCTGTTTGACTTTTTCCAAGCAGCCGCAGACTCCCCTCCCCCCCACCCAAGTTAATAAAAAAAAAAAAGACGTACAAAATCCAGATGTTCTTTGTACTGTGCCCCAAAGGAAAAAAAAAATAACTCCAAGCTCGAAGAATTTGTTTTTTCTTGCCTCCCCCCCCCCCAACCTCCAGGGAGGGTGTCTGTCAGATTTATCATTGATATTACACACTTCATAACCAAATAGTTCTGCCATTCCATTTCCAATAGATTTCGTTTCCCACCTACATTAAAAAGAAAAAAAAACCTATTTGATTTTTTTGAGCTTAATCTCTCCACTCGCACTTAGCTGTGTCCCAGGGCAAGTCACCGTCACCCCTCCCCCAGCCTCAGTTTCCCAGTCTGTAAAGAGCGGACAGTATAATTTTTGTACATACCTACCCTGTAGGGTTGTGGCGAGCAAAGGGCTGGAGAAACTGGAGATAATTACGGTGATAATTGGAGTCCGCCGCAGGACACCCCCCCCCCCACCACGCCCTGGGGATAGTTCTCTGTTCTGTTTCCTTTGCGCTGGCTTGGGGCTCCAGGACCTGCTACATACTGCCCAAGCCAATCTTCGTCCCCGAAATTCCCAGACTGTCAGCTGGGAAGGACCTAATGACCCTGATGGGGAAACTGAGGCTTAGAAAGGGCAAAGGACTGACCCAGGATTATGCAGCAAGTGAACGGTAGAGCCAAGACCTGAACTTTGTCTCCAGAGTGCTTTCCCGGACGCCAGAGAATCTTAGAACAGGGCAGAATTGAACCAACCTTTCCAGCCCCTTGAGAGGCTCCTTTCTCCCAAGCCCCTCCAACTTTTTTCCAAATGAGGAAACTGAGGTCCATCTAGATTAAATGACTTGTCCAAGGTCACTGCAGCTAAAAGTCTGGTTTTAGTTCCCGACTCGGTATTGGCGTTGGAAAGGGAAGTGAATAGTTGAGCAGGGAACTCAAACTCAGGTATCCTGATTCCCAGTCCAAGACTTGTTACCCTACACCCGTCTGCCTTACGCTTCAGGGCTGGGCAGGGCAGTTCTGCCAGCCCTGAGCTTCCTGTGGGGTGTTTACCGCTTTTCCGCATCCCGGATCCCAGATGAATTCGTTTAAGGATTTCCACAAAAAAAAAAAAAAAGAAAGAAAGAAAAAAAAGAAAAGAAAAGAAAAGAAAAAGGGGGGGAAAAAAAGGGGGAGGGCAGAGTCTGTTCCTGCAGCCCGATTTCTCCTTCAACGGCAGTTTACGTCCAGCGTGTGGTTTCAGAGTGTGTCTTCTCCTTTCCTCCTCTCGCTCCTTCTTCCTCTCCCCACCCTCCCTGGCTTCCCCGACTCCCCAGATAACTGCCTTGTGCTTAGCTTGTCCTCAGTGGTGGTACCCCATCAGCTTCGCATATGGGCTGCTGAAGAAGGCTCCCCCCTCAGATTTGGGGGCATCACCGCAGGTATGACAAAGTTCCTCCTTGGGGAGAGGAAACAGACCTCATCACCTGTTAGCTCTCTGGTGTTAGCTGCTTTACAGGTGAGGCTGGGGGACCGGGGAGGTGTCAGGTAAAGTGTAAAGGTAGGGGTGGAAGGATTTTGGAGTTAGGACACGTGGCTTAGAATTCCATTATTGCCCATTGCTAGCGGTGTGACCTTGGGCAAGTCATTTTCTATCTCTAGGCCTCATTTTCCTGAGTAAAATGAGGGAGTTCGGCTAGAATAGAATGTTTTAATTTCTCTTCCAGCTTGGGGTCTAGAGCGGGAGCTCGCTAGTGTCGAGGCTGCCGCCAGAGGGCTCTGCTTCCCTGCTAATCCTGGGGCTGGGCCTTGGGAGGCCCCGCTGAGGAGGACTGCAGGTGTATCCTGTTCTCAAAGAAAATAAAATATTTTCATGGGAAACTTTTTTCCCCCTTCTCTTTTGTGTTTTTCTTTCTCCCTCCTTTTTCTATTCCTCCCTCCCTTTTTTACTTTGGGGCAAGATCCATTCCTTATCCTACCCCTCCCCCTTACCCGGTCCTCAATTCAATTTCATTATATGTCTATGTGGCCAGACCTAATTAAGTAAGATTTTTGGAAAGTTCTTCTAGCCTCTGGGATGAGAAAGGCACCTTAGGATGTCAGAATGGGGTGGGATCTTAAAGGCTATTTAGTCCAAGTGCCCCTTTTTTACAGGTGGGGAAACTGAGGTTTGGACTATCTGATCTCTGGAGAGCCCTTCCCAGTTCCAGATCTATGATTCAACCCAGGTCTTCTGTCTCCAAATCCAGTGGATTTAACAATCTCTTCTCTAGGATGACGTTTCAGATGTTGTCAGAAGACTAGCACTTAACCATCTTCTCTTTTAACACTAACATATACTTTCATAGCTTCTTGACTTAGGTGAGCTGATCTGGAGGTCGGCATTTTTCAGAGCAGCAATCAATTTATAACCAGTCTCCACTCAAGGATGGTTTGGTAGAAGGAGCCTGGCTTGGTAGTGCAGATCTGGCTTTGAATGTCAGCCACATACTACCCATGTGATTTTAGGAGAGGCACTTCCACATCACTCTTTCTCTACCTGTAAAATGAGGAGTTTAGGGTAGTTGATTTCTGAGGTCCTTTTCTTCTCTAATACTCTGGGAGTCCAGATATTCACATCTCCCCTTGTGCCTAGCCCTGTTCTTCATTACCTTCCAATTTCATGGGGATCCAGGATGAGCTGGTGAAAGGGTTGGGGATGAGTAGGCGATATAAATGCTGTATGTGATCAAATGAGGGGCCCCATAAGACTCCTGGAGTCATAGAGTAGTTAGGGAGGGCTTTGTGTTAAAGTAGCATTCGGAGTAGGCTTTGAGGGATGGAAATATAGGGAAGGAGTTGGGAATTTCTTTAGTGGTAGAAATAGCATGCCAGGCCTGGAGTCAGGAAGACCTGGGTTCAAATGTGGCCTCAGGCACTTAATACCTGTGTGACCCTGGCCAAGTCACTTCACCCAGTTTGCCTCAGTTTCCTCATCTCTAAAATGAGCTGGAGAAGGAAATGGCAAGCCACTCTTTGCCAAGAAAACCCCAAATGGAGTCACGGAGAATTGGACATGACTGAATAAACAACAGAAATGGCATGGACAGAGGGTTGAGCATGGCCAGTCCAGTGACAGCAGGGAGATGATCATAACTCATGCCTGTATAATACTCTTAAGTTTTTGAAAAGAATAGTAATAAAATGAAAATTATTTCCTTTTTATACCAGGAGAAACTGAGGCAGAGGAGGGGTGATTTGATTAAGAAAGTTTTAGAGTAAGATTTGAACTCTGGTCTCCTGCTGTCTCCTCCTGTCCTCTTTTTGTTTCCATATGACATCTGTCAGGGTCTCCAGGAATGTGGGGATTTCTCTGGCCTGCTGTTTATTGATTTTTTGTTTAGGGATAACTTAAAAAAATGTTTCTATCTTCCAAACCTCTTTTTCTTAAAGGAACAATTTGACACTTATTGGAATCCCTCATTTTGACCATTCATTGTGAAAACAGCATATATTTGTGCTGTAGTAGAAAAGCCCTGGTTGGACTTGGAATCAAGAGACCTGGATTTGCCAGTTATTAGCTGGATGATCATGGGCAAGTCCCTTCTACTCCATGGACCTTAGTTTTCTCATCTGTAAAA